ATTAGCATTTTGGCCTCACCACCAGATATTTTGAGTCGCAGGGCGTGCATTTAATAGTTTGTTATTCAAATTATTATCGCAAGACCGACGGTAGTACACATCATTTTCAAGAACTCTGTCTCGTCATCGGAGGCATGGTGAGTTTTTTAAATTGAATTTTGTCTTGAAAATAGGCTTCCGGAAAACAAATTTCAGGGAGTAAAAAGCTTTTGGAACGTTTAAAGAAATGGGTAAAAGCCAGGTCTTTAAGAGAAATTTGCCCTTTGGGTGAAGTAGATCCGTAAGCGCGGGGACTGTTCGTCTTCAGTTTTCCAAGCTTCAAATGGCAATCACGACTTCGGCGACTTATCCCGCTCTGGTCCACATTTCGGTGGAGATTGGGGGTCCCGTGCAAGCGCAAGCGAGAGAAATGCATTTTGGTCGGTAGAACAATCACGTGGTCCTTTAAACAAGAAGACAAGACCACACAAGAAGAGCTTGGCGGGGTCGGGTCAGGGTGGGGATGGATAGAGCATGGGACAAAACCTAAATAGCACTCATGACCCATGGTAAGCCCCGCCCACAGTGGCGGGGCGTGCGTAAATCCATAGCGGCTATGTGTACTGGAAAAAGTCAAATAACTCGTTGCCAGAGGTAGGCACAGATGACCGGAAACAGTTGCAGTATAAGGTTGAGACAAAGGCCTGACTGACGAAACAGAGGAGATACACCCGAAATGGGCGGGGATGGCGGGGCGTACTTGAGATGGGCGGCGCTTCCCGTGTCACTGAAAAATCCCCAGGCTACAAAGCAGCTCGGAGACTGGAAAAAGTGGAATTAGGTTAGCACTGGGTTGGCACACCAAATGGAGGAGAGACACCCGAAATGGGCGGGGCGTACTTGAGATGGGCGGCGCTTCCCACAAAGGTCGGTAACTCGGTCCCCGAAAATGTTTAGGGATCGCAGAAAAGTCCATGACGAAGATTAACGTCTGGCAAGAGTCCACCATGTTTACGGCGTGCTGAGGCCCGCCTACAGTGGGCGGGGCGTGCATTTGAGCACGAGGAACAGTATAAAAAGTCGTAGTTTGGTCCTAAAGCACTGCAGAAGGTGCCAAAATGTGGATTATGGTCCCCAAGTGATCAAATGTAAGGATGTGCGAGGCACTCCCGTTGTGGGCGGAGCCTGCACCGAGGTGGGCGGAGCCAAATTCGGAAAGAATTCGCAAAACGGTTCCAGAGCACTCCAGACACCGGGAAAAAGTTAAGATCAGCGAGGGGTCATTAGTTGAGAAGCGCGAGGCATACGTTGTGGGCGGGGCGTGCCCCGAGGTGGGTGGAGCCGAACAAAGTAGTTTAAGATCAGCGAGGGGTTATTAGTTGAGAAGCGCGAGGCATACATTGTGGGCGGGGCGTGCCCCGAGGTGGGTGGAGCCAAATTTAAAAATTCGCAAAACGGTTCCAGAGCACTCCAGACACCGGGAAAAAGTGGTTTAAGGTCATCGAGGGGTCACCGGTTCACAAGTGTAAGGCATACCTGTTGTGTGTGGAGCGTGCGTCAAGGTGAGCGGGGCCAGCCTTAAAAATTCCTCAAGCGGTTCCAGAGCACTCCACTCCAGACCTCTATGTGATACGGCCCGGCTTTGCGGGGCGTCGCGCTTACCTGCATTCGTATGATCAAATGCTCGACTAATACCCGGCTTTTCTCTCATCTGTCCACTTGATCAACGCTCCTTACCACCACTCCATACACCGTAATAGTGTTGAAAGTAGCAGGTATGATGCTATTGGTCAATGTTGACCACCTGTTCAGGTACAAAGAAAAGTTCGATTGGCGGCTTATGAAAAGTCTGGAAGGAGGTAAGCGCGGCGGAGCAGCGCCCGCTCGACGCGCTTACCTTCTAAACATTCATGGCCGTGTAAAGGTCTGGATGCCTTGAAGTGCTCATGGAAACCGCGTGGTAATCTTTTAAGGCTTAGCACCGCTCATCTTTGACGCATACGCTCCGACACAACAGGTATGCTTTACACTTGTGGAACCCGGTCGATAGGGGCCTGCGGACGAACCTGTTAAACACCACTTTTCCCGGTGTTCACGTGAGTGCTCTGGAACCGTTTGCGAACTTTTTAAACTTGGCTCCACGCGCCCGCCGCACAACGCATTGATGCTCGGCATCCTTAAAAGTTACGGTACGCGATCAAGCGTA